TCATCTTATGATTTAATTTGAGGACGAAAAGTAGGCTACTAGGTTATATCCATCGGGTACGTCCTAACGGATATATCCAACCATCCTTACTTTAATTGAATATAATTTGAGATATCTTTTAAAATTCAATTTATTGGGGCAATGTAGAATGAGAGTAGCCTTTATTTTAGCAAATATACATCATTTTATTCTTACAATTTCGACCCTGAGGGTATAAGTAAGCTAGCCTTTATTTTAGCAAATATGCATCAATCTATACTTACAATTTCGGCCCTGAGAGTATAAGTAAGCCAGCCTTTACTCTAAGGTGTGGAATAATGAATGATTATCGATTTAATCCTTCGGGAAATGATGTTTAAATTTTCTATTGGTCAATATTAATGTTGAATTTCAAAAATTATTTAAATAGATAAACAGTTTTAGTTTAAGAATAAGTTTGCAAAGTAGTCGGATAGCTCATGGTGGCACACAATTGGCTCTCACTTAATTATGTATTAATTTTTAATTTTGTTTTTTTTTATGCAGTTTCATGAAGTAGATCGATCAGAAGCCAAAAAATACTCCGCATATAAAAGTCTATTAAAAAGAGATATCATCCCATTCAAAAACGTCTTCTTGGAATATTTTGCATTGAAGCCATTAAGATCAATTAGATCAGCTAATGAAGACATACTTCATACTGCCTTCGAACTCTTACTTCCGAGCAAACATCATCGATCTGAATTATGTTTAGTTGTAGATCCAAAAAAAGAACGAGGAGATGGACGTTACGGATTTATAGATATTTTCCTAGATGGCACAAATGATAAACAGCCAATAAATGTAATTCTAGAACTGAAGTACATTTCATTAACAGGTTTGCTAAGTGGAGCAAAGGGAAGATGGATTAAAAATCCGACTTATGAAGAACTAAAAAGTTTAGACCTTAAACTTAAGGAGGAAAGTGTTGACCAACTTTTGAAACGAAAGTACATGCACTGGTCCGAAGAAAAAAGACATTTTGTGGTAGTTGGGATAGGTGATATAATTAATGAGGGAACGATGCAAGTTCGAAAATATTTTAATGTTGTATTAGAAGGACGCGCCAATAGATATAAACCAGGAATTTCAGACGATCGAGTAAGGGTTATAAATAATGTAGGTTATCTGAGTGGTTTCTTGATAATAGTCTTTGGTTCTTGCAGGTTTGTAACTAAATTCATTGTTGCTAAAAGAACCAAACAAACCTTTTATATTATTTGATTAATGCATTCGACTGGCTAAGTTATATCAGATACAATAAATGCAATTCTAGAAAATTGATATAGAGCTATTGAATATTCAATTTATATTTACTATCAATTTTTGATAACGACACTAATGGATTTTGCACATTTTTAGATTAATTGATACTAATTATTGTTTTCTTCACTATTATATTAAAGATTTTCTTGCAAATAAATATTAAAAAAAATTGGACCTTCATAGCAAAAGGGGTAGTATTTCCACTTTTTTTCTTCTTTAGCTAGAACTTGCCTGCTCTGATTGGCTATCTTCATTTTAAATATTCTGAAATTGATTCTAAGTAAATATTCGTTAGTTTATCATCCATTTAATAACAACGTCAATAACGTTTTTCGTTTTTTTTCTTTTTTTTTCTGCAATAAAAAAAAAAGCAATGCAAAATTTGTTATAAGCTTGCATTTTAATATTATAAGCTTTATTTCGTTAATTAAAAGCAAGAAACCATCAAATTAGAACCTTAGCTAAACAAAATCATAGAATATCAAATATAACTATGTCACTTCGTCAAATACTTTCGTCACTTATTAGTCACAAGTTGAACTATAATGGCCAAATGTGAAAATAAGCAATGTTCGGCCATCTAATAAAGATATTTAAATTAGGTGGGTAATTTAATTTTTTAATTAGAATTTACTTCATAACTATGTAGCAACAAAGATCTGATAAACATATAATATTTGTTGAAAGTTCTCAACTTATCATTAGCAATGTTAAGAATAACCAACTTTTTGCCGGCATTGAATATTTCAAGAATGATACAAAAATCCGAATCTCTATTGATGACAAATTGCTATCTTATTTATTTCATCATTGTCAACGAATATTCAGAAAGAAAAATATCGATCAGTCTGAAATGAGGGTGTAAAGAAACTGCAAAAATAGTATCGAAGAACGCCCCAGAAAACAAACCAAATGGTTAAAAAGAAACAACTAATATAATGCGAAATTCAAGTTTATTTATATAAGTTAGGGTAAGAATTAGAGTACAACTAAAGATTGAGGGCGGCTTTGCCGCCTGGTTGATATATACTGTACCATTAAAAAAATACTCTTATTTCATTTTCCGATTTTGAAATTTCAACATCCATTATTTTTATAATAATATACAGTTATTGGATGCGAAGCAGCCAATAAGTCACCCTTATCTAAAATTAAATCCGGTGAAAAATAAACTGGTTCCAAATTCTATATCTAGATAATTAATTTGATCAATAAATGAGCATTATATTTGGACCAAATCACTTCGAATAGGAAGAAATTAAATGAAAGATACAATAGTAGTAACATATAGATGTCAAGCTAAATCAGCGCAAGTACTTGTTATTATCATGTGGACAATGAATTATTGCTAGGATACCACATTATGGCATGGCCTTCAGCCACATTATAATGCAAATTTGATGTGAAAAAGTAAGCAATTGTCAGTCACAGTTATCCAATGTGTTTAACGTAAATACTAAATCATTTTTGTCTCCTAGTACAGATATACCAGTGTTGTTGCTAGACCGGTCCAGTGAAGATCACAGGAACTGGAAGGATTACTGGAATTAATTGGATGAAACTGAAAGATATTTAGGTTCCAGTGGTAAGTTGTCACTAGACCCTTCTAGTCATATATATATATATTGTCTAGTGAGGTCTAGTGAAATTTAATGTCAAAAAAACATAAAAATAAATTTTTTTTTTTTTTATTTATGTAATACGATATATATTTCAGTTCTCAATTTTTCGATGCCTAGATCTTTCATGCGCGAAGTTATATTTGAATTCTAAAATTTTATTTAAACTCATATACATAATCTATTTAAACTGTAATAGTGCAATCCTGTGATCAAAAAAAATCGGACTGAAAATATTATATGCAAAACTAAGAACTCATAATTGGATAGTTAAGATTCAATATCAATTAATAATCGTATATTTAACTTTTCATGAAATATAATTCTATGTGCAAGTCCGATTTGGTGGTTCTTAGTATCAAAAATCACGGAACTGTGCCATTACTTTGCTAACCCTTAAATTAATACCCATACCTTAAACTAATGACATAATAACGATAAGTCCCTGTTAGTAAAGTTGGGTTTTCGAATTATTCTAAAATTCCTAAATTGTCCCAAATTATTCTAAGTTGTCTTATCTTTTTGTTAATGCGAAGACACTAACGATTGACAAAATACGCAGATCTACAACATAGTTTATTATATTCGTGGCTAGAACATGCGTGCAGCTTCGCCGCCTTCTTAATAACTTTGTATACAGAAGTAATGCTTTTCATATTTCTAAATTAATTTGAATGAAATGAGAAGTGTTACTTGATACGTAGTAAAGATTCACGAACTTGAATAATCTATTCAAACACCTCAGATTATAAATATTTATTTTTCACTTATTTATACACTAAATTAATAATGAATTGATGTAAAATTAAATAATATGAATTCAAATATCTTGATACCTAAATGCTTTATTTATTTAATTAATGTAAACAAAACAAAGTTAATAAAGTGTACAGGAATACATATTCATGAAGTTAACGAATTAGAATCTTCGCAAATTAATTTAGGTGAAATGAATATTTAATTAAGTGAATAAAACTAATGTGAATAAAAATAAATATTCAATAATTTTTTATGCGAACCTCTAGATTTTTAATTAATAAATAATGAATTGTTCTGATCAACTCACAAATATCATTATAGTTATCGACAATTAATTCACAGACAAGGTTTATTTTATAGACGATTAATTCACAGACAAGTTCATCTATAGACAGCATAATTCACCAACAACTCATTTCACAAGTTTTTTTTTCAATAAATTATACTAACCTTACAGCGTATGCCGTTTATTCCAACGCTACTGACCAGAATTAATTTGTCAGTGAAATGAGCAGTCGGTAAAATATACTGTCTATGAAATGAACATGAACTTGACTGTGAATTAATTATCAGTAGATAATTCTTATTTGTAAATTAATTGTCGTAAAATATGTTGTCTATAAAGTGATTATAATATAGACCGTCAATTAATCAAATACCTCGTTGATATCGGTTATGAAGATATAAAAATCGAAGATTTTGGGATAGGTAAACCAGCAAATTCGATAACCAGTGATGGACAATAACGATGTCATTTAAAATTTTAGTGACAAATGACAAATTGTGACAAATAACAATGTCACAATAACATTTATAAGCCACATGCCAATATTAATTGTCGCGGATCAGAAATGAAGCTTCTATTTAACCCTCTAAAACCCACTTATACATGTTTATTATAAACTCTACCCTAAAACTAACCTCTAACTCTAGCCCCTAACCCTAAAAAATGCACTTCAAAAATTTTTATTTTTCTATTTTTTACATTGTACAATATTTCATTTTAATCCATCACATTTATTCTTGAAAAAAAATACAGAAGAATCAGATGTTTACAGCTTTGGAATGATTATGTGGAAATAATAACTGGTCAATCCCCTTTTTCCGATCGTAATCATTATGAATTCCTATAATGGCCTTCGTCCTGAAATTATTAGCAACTTACCGCAGGTTTATATTGATTTAATAGAAATTGTTGGGATGCTAATCCACTAAACAGACCAATTGCTGAAGATACTTCGGAGTTCCATTAATATTATTTCTGGTAAAAATATAAGAATTAATATTTGATAAAAATTTGACTATCTTTACAGAAACTAGTTATTTTTTTTTAATAAAATTAAAATAAAGATATTAATACAATACTTTAA